AAATGGAGGAATTTTGGTCAATATTGATAATTAAACAATATTTTGCTAAATGGGTTTTTGTGCTGAAAACTTGGCTGGTTTAGGCCTGTCATGGATAAATAATGATGACAATAAAACCACCAGTAGGTGGCAGCAAGCCCCTGTTTTGATAAATGATTTATTGAATCGTTCAAATCAAATGATTTGTTCAAAACGGCTGATTCAATTAGAAACGAAACAAGCCTGCGTCCCAATGTGCATACTATCCATCCTAAATTCTATGTGATATTAGTCATTTTCAATACTATTTTGGGCAGATAGGCTGGATAGTATGCACATTGGGACGCAGGGAAAGTGTCCATCTGAATGGGCCGTTGAATCACTGGCTCACTTGATTCGTTCAAGAAACGAAACACCGTGTTACTACTATACTACTAAATTAATAGCACATTTGTGCTCGCACATGTAGGCCTACTGATTCAGAAAAGTACATTGCTTGTGCAATGAATATAAAAACATAAAAACTCATACATGGGTATTTTTCTTTAATTGCTTGAATTATAATGCTATTTTACCTGTATTGTAATAGGCCTCATTACGCAGTGAATGCTTTTGGACTCTCAATACGTGTTTTTGTTTGGTTTTTGCAAGGTCTATGACTCCATAATGTCAGCTCTCCTATCATCTCTCAATCCCTCACAGTTACACAAACAGCACAATAATAACAGTATGTCAGGTGAATGTTTTTAAATTCTAATGAAGGAAAAATCATACCTTTTCTGTTGTTTTCTTTTAAAAGAAATTCAAAAGTTTCGCTTGAGCCATTTTGCGCGAAAAATGACGAAAACTTGCTTCCGCTTGCGCGCAGCTTGTTACAGAACCGAGTTCTAATTGGCCAATCGCCGTTATTCGTGAAATATCTTAAGTAGATCATTTTAACATTTAATTTGCATGATAAGTTTTACATAATACACGTTATTAACCCAAAGGGGATGGTGGTTGTACTGAGGGGATGCTTTTTGTCATTTTTTTTTTCAACCAGGGGGACGCCATCCCCACTCAATTCGAGCCCTGCCTATATATAAATACACACGTTTGAATTTGAGTGTTACAATATTAATAAATAATACGACAAAATTGTGTGAAATGTGTTGCTTCATACTGTATGTACACAATCAAATCTTATACAGTTCAGTACAGTAAAATTATCCTCTAGTTGTGTTGGTCGTAATAACAAACAACCAGGGATGAAATGTGACAGAAAATCAGATATTGTTCAAATAGCTGAATATGATAATGGAAGAACAATAAATAATAATAATAATAATAATGGTTTCGTGGTCAGGCGAATTATGGCATGTTGTTGAAGCCAAATTACAGGTCAAGTGATTCAATGTCCTTCATTGTCTTCCCCTGCCAAAAAAACGGCTTTGTAGATGCACTTCATCTTTTTGAGCACCAGATGGCAGTAAAAGTGTAGAAAAGCTGTATTAAAGCCCTCATTACTTTCGTAAATTGTGTATAAAACGCTTATGATTTAAACAATGTTTGTACTGTATGATAAAACATGCAAAATAAATCAGTGAATCTTTATAAGTATGTTTCAGTAAACAGATTGTATCAAATGAGATGATTAAAAAAAATACATACTAAATTTTACATTGACTAAACTCATACCTGCAAATTTGCATGATGCAAAAACCATTTTAACAAAAAAGACATTGTCACCTATTGACCTTTCGGCTTAATACAAAAAAACACAGAACATAAAATCTGTGTGTTTATATTTCAAATTCAAAAACAAATGCACCTTTAGGCTGAAATATTCTCTACACAAGAAAGTGAACACAGCTTAGGTTTGAGTTTCATATGAGCAGGGAATGGAAAACAAGCCCTTTAACAATATACAAAATTAGCACATGCATTCAGTAATACATACGCTCATAAGCACAAAATGTTTGTCTATAAATAAGAATAAACCATATTTCTTTCCAGATCTACAGTAACTCCGACCACAGCAGGTTTCATTTTGACTACCAGCACATTTAGTAGATTAACCTTCATTCTTCTCACTGCATGAAAAAAAAAACACTTGCATAGTTGAATTGAATAAATATCATAATATAAAAATAAGACAAATAAATCACAAATCTTTGCAGCTTTTATTTTACATAAAAGTACTTAAAAGGTAATTGTATATTTGTAATTTATTTTTTATTTTTTTTAGATGTCATTCAATTTACAAGCTCACTCATATCATATAATAATCAATCAGAGCATCTTTATAAGAAAAAACTATATGCCTAATGAAGGGTTTGATCTTCTGACTGATTTAAAAACTGACTGATCATCTCCTTTTTAAGCTTTCGCTTCTCTTATATGACTATTGAATCTGAATCACACATGCTCAGTCACAGCTACAAGATCTGTTCCAGTGAGCAGTGAGACATCATCATGTGAACTTAAAAGTTTTCTGCATATACCTGAAAAATATCAGACTGAATGTGAAAAGAAGAAATGCAGTCCTGTTTTGTTATCATAGCTGTCAAAGAAACTTTTTTTCTGGGAGTGTTGAAGGTGAAATTCATTTCATTCTGAGAGTTGGCGGGGTTTGTTCTGCTGTCATGTTCAGTCTGACAAACTATTTCAGACTACTTTCAGTTACACCCACCATTTGAACTACAGGAACGTCATCTCACTGTGTGATCAAATCCATTAGCTATTTGTGCAGATTCAATTCTTTTATATGAACCAATAAGCTGTAAGTTCCTTACTTTTCTATATTCAAAGCTATGCAATTTCCTTCCTTAACAGTCAAATGTCTGCATAATGAAATCAAAACATGTCCAATGGGCACAACCCTTTTGACCTTATGATTATTTACATGATTAGAAATGTCTTTAAAGTTTAGCATTGGTCACAAAATAGAAACAGGAAATTCTGTCAATGCATTTCCAGTTGTTTTGCTTGTCTTTCTGTCCTCCCCTATCAAACTTGTCTGGATCTGACATCATAAAGCAGCACAGCAACAGCAGCCACGCCCACCAGAACAGAGAGAGCCAATCGGATCACAGCTTCGGTAAACCCATAATAGTGGACGTAGTCTAAGAATTGAGAGAAAAATTAAATGTGAATTCTTTTGAGACTTAATCAGTACTAAACCCGGTTTTAGTACTGATTCCCGTATATTGTAGTTTAGTCTTAGAACACAACTACAGAACTTCAGAACACAAGTCATTCCGGAAATTATGACCGTCCATTTGGTAGTAATAGCCATAGGATGGTCAAAGAGTTCATTTCCATAAAACATAGGCAGTACAGAGGTGTATTTGGCCTTATTTTGAAATCAGCTTGTGTATTTGTGTACTTTTGTCTGTAATGTCACGTTCAACACCAAATCTACGACCTGTCAAAACCAAAACATTTGATACTGAGCTTGGTTCATAGTTTTTAAAAAGTTTTATTTTGTATCAAAACCACATGCTTTATGATGGCTGAAGCAGCTGATAGGTATTACCATTATTTGTTCAGTTGGATTCTGTAAATACTAAGGTATTTTATATCTACCATTTGCCACTTTTTTGGGAGTTAATTTGGTTGTAGAATTTGGTTGTCACTCCCATGTATTACAAAAGCATGCGTGTACAGAACGGGATTAAAGCACTCAAAACAGGAGCGACAATCGCATTTAAAGGGATAGTTCATCCCTGAATGAAATCTCTTATCTCACCATCTGAATGTGTCTGACAGAGTTGAGTGATGTCCAGATGTTGAGTCTGGTTGCTGATGGGATTGTTGAGCACACAGCTGTAGCTGTTTTTATCCTGATATTCCACCTCCAGATGTAAAGAGACGCTGTTGCTGAGATCAGACGCACTGATGCTGGACAATAAACTGTTTCCTTTGTACCAGGAGAGAGTCACATGACTCACATTCACCACTGAACACAGCAGCTCACATCTGGAGACTGACGATGGAGGATTTTGTGGACAGTATCCGGTGATCACAGGAATGGGGAGATGAGCTGAAGAACACAAGAAAAAGAGTAAGAGCTTCTTTGTTTGCCAGTGGTTTATTACGACAGTTTATAAGTCCAGAAATGCAAGAAAAATAAAGTTGGAAATGCAAATACGTTTTACTTGTGAGATACAGTATAAAGTGGCAATTTTGAGAAATAAAGTTGCAATTGAACAATGTAAAGTTGCAAAATCAGCTTATAGAAGGTGCCAAGCTGAAAAATTGCTTTTTTCTTTTTTCTTGGAGAAACAGGATACAGTGTTGAGTAGTTCCCATATTGAATCACTGTTTGCCTGAACAGAGAAGTGATGACTTTTGCATCCTCAACTTCCTCATCGAAAGGATTTTATTTCTCTTACCTGATGGTTTAAATCTACTAAAAGCCTTTTAGCTGAAGTGTTCATTCTGGGCTGAGAATTAAAATATGGCGAAGAGCCTGACCAACATGAAAAGCAACCAACCACAAATGGTTTTGTTTTTAAATGACATTGAGGAATGTAGATTATACCACAGTAACAAACCAAGTGGAAACACTGCCATGGATGACAAGGACGAGGAAATGTTCAAAGTAACTCACCACATTTTAAAATAATATATCACATCATAATTAAGAAAACAAGTGTTAATCCTGTAATTAAGTCATTTTAATTTTAATTTTATTCAAAACTGCTTTACAGAAAATCATGTCTTAATGCCCAATCCTTGGTTTCCTAGGTTGAAGCAGTGGCCCAACTTACCCCCATATTACCTCATATCCTAAATTACTATTATGTTATTACATGTATTCATGGTGATTTTATAAAATTATATTTAAAATAAGATTATGAAAAGAGACAGAAATATGCATAATAATAATACTGTGCTTACCATAGACTTTAACAATGAAAACTTTGCTTGAGACCTTATTTTCAATGATGATTTCTACTTTATAAAGTCCATTGAGTTCTGTGCTGACATTTGTGATGGTCAGAGATCCAGTCTGAGAGTCCAGCTTGAGTCTGTCTCTGAATCTCCCATCAGCACCATTGTGAAACGTCTCATTGTGGACTCTGTTGATTTTAGCAATGTGAGTGTCTTGAGGTCCAAAAGTCCACAGTAGCACATTATCTCTCTGCAGTTCAGTAACATCCATGTGTAGAGTGACAGAATCTCCCTCCATCGCTGATATGGTCTGTCTTTCATCGATCTCAACACCAAACGCACCTGTGGAACAAACATTGGAACACTTTCACAGTCACAACTGATGCTGTTTTACTAAAACTGTAACTAAAAAAACATTTAGAACTTACCAGTTAGATATAATAAGCACAGACAGGAAAAAACAAATGTTTGAAACATTTTGTTTAAGAGGTCACAGACTGCTCGAATAACCCTCCACAAGTCTAAAACAGCAGACACTTATTTGAAACGAACTCTGAACCTGTTTCTACACAAGAGAGGTGCAGTTCCTTGTTTAGCGGTGAAGTCGTGTAGAGCAACTGTACAGTCAGTATTTGTGTCTAATTATGTGTATAAACCATCTTGCCATTGTTACTGCTCATGAAAACAATAGCCCTTATTTTTGTCAAATGTACTTAGTTTTTGAATGTGTTTATATACATTTAATGTCAAATGTAGAAATACTGGATTTAAAATGTCTACCTTTCAAACTTTCAATCAAAACTAACAAATAGTCCCATAACAACATATTGATCGAAATATGTGTAGAACTCAGACTGGTATAGTCTAAAAGAATATATGTTTATTATAAAGGCTATAAGTCAAGTCATGGGTGAAAAGTTATACTTAAATCCTATTGTGGACTAATGGTTAGCGAGTCGGACTTGTAACCCGAAGGTCGTGGGCTTGAGTCTTGGTACCAACGGGGATTGTTTGTGGGGGGAGTGAATGTAGGGCGCTCTCTTCCGCCCTCAATACAACGACTGAGGTGAGACCCTTGAGCAAGGCACCGAACCCCCAACTGGTCCCCAGGCGCTGGTGCAAATGGCTGCCCACTGCTCTGTGTGTGTGTTCACAGTGTGTGTGTGTGTGTGTGTGTGTGCACTTGGATGGGTTAAATGCAGAGCACAAATTCCGAGTATGGGTTACCATACTTGGCAAATGTCACAACTTTCACTTCACTTTTCACTCATTTGTTTTGTTCATTATAAATTAACTGACCATAAAGGGACAGGCTATGTTTATATGTCCATATATATGATTATATGTTCAAAGCTCAAAGTAGAACTTGAATCTCTGTCTCTAAAGTCTATTCCTGAGTCTGGCAAACATGAGTTCAATGGCAAATGGACACTGATCTGTGATCAGGTTTCTCCTTTCATTAGGATAGGCCTATCCTTTGCCCTCAAGAGTACAATAACAAAAACTACAAGCAAGAATACTAGTTCATACTGTTTGGATACCACCAGCAATTCATTCATTTCATATTTTAGGTTTTTTGGACATACTGTTATTGTTTACGTTTTTGTTTTCAGTTGAAAATGAGCAAATATTGTACTGTATTGACTTTTTAATATATTTTAAACAGTTAAAGAACATCTGTGTACAGCTTAAGTGATATTCACGAGCCAGCATTTGTTGTTTTATGTCATAACCAGCATATCTTGCCCTACAATTCCTTTCTATAAAAAGTGCCACCCATGACAGCAGTGCTTTTGTCCGTCACTCGTTTTGGTTGCGCGGTTGAGACACAATGAAGACACGACGGTACCTGATCGATCACCTCATCAGCTCGAGTCATGGTTAGGAGCTTGAATTCTACAGTAGCCTACAGCAATATGAAGAAACTGTTATTGCTGTTTTCCTTTGCATTATTTATGGACGGTAAGTCGACTTCGGTTCTTCATACTTCATTATCTCATTCATGGTCTCAATTACTAACACTAGCGTACAATACTAACGTGTTGATGAGTGTAGGGAATGTTCTTACGCAAAAATTCGCATTTACAAAAAACGCATTCACAAAATCACGTCTGTGTTATAATCTGGGGGCGCGGTGTGTGTTACGTCACTAGCGTGGGCTTTCGGCGTCCTGCCACATGTGACGTTTGCGTTACGTAATTTCGTCATTAGGCATCCAGCCAAATCAGGCAGTAAACGCGGGTCAGAAATCAGATTCCCACATAATTAGAGGCAGTCAACATATGATAAATGAATGAATGAATGAATGATGCATTTATATAGCACTTTATTGTGTATTGTTGTACACCCAAAACGCTTTACAATCATGTGGGGGGGGTCTCTCCTCAACCACCACCAGTGTGCAGCATCCACTTGGATGATGCGACGGCAGCTACAGGACAACAGCGCCAGTGCGCTCACCACACACCAGCTACAGGTGGAGAGGAGAGAGAGTCATAGAGCCAATCAAGTGGTTGGGGATTATTAGTAGGCCATGATAGACAAGGGCCAGGGGGGGCAATTTGGCCAGGACACCGGGGTTACACCCCTACTCTTTACGAGAAGTGCCATGGGATTTTTAATGACCACAGAGAGTCAGGACCTCGGTTTAACGTCTCATCCGAAAGATGGTGCTGTTTGTCAGTATAGTGTCCCCATCACTACACTGGGGCGTTAGGACCCACACAGACCACAGGGTAAGCACCCCCTGCTGGCCTCACTAACACCTCTTCCAGCAGCAACCTTGTTTTCCCAGGAGGTCTCCCATCCAGGTACTGACCAGCTCAACCCTGCTTCGCTTCAGTGGGCAACCAGTCTTGGGCTGCAGGGTGATATGGCTGTCTTAAACTCATTTTGAAAACCATAAAGACATTCACGAGCATTTGATAGAAACCTGCAGTTTCTTAAAATCAAGTACACAAGAAATAGGCTAATTTAAAAATAGGCCAAATTGGTTCCGTTTTGTTATGTTTTAAGTGCAAATACCGAACATCCAAGCTTGGAAAAAATCCACAAATGACAACATCTAGGTTCATTATATGATTAATTCCATAGCCTAGTATTCATTGTACTCTATAGTATTTAGTGGATGTACTATTAAGATAATAACCTAATCCTTACAATTTTATATGTCGACTGCATGCAGCGATAATATTTTGTTTTCATAGAGTTGACTGATTTTGAAAACTTTCAGCTACTGTTACTGTTTGTTCTTTAGGGGTGTTTGGCGAGACGAAAAAGGTGTCAGTGAAGGAGGGAGATTCTCTCACTCTACACACTGATGTCACTGAAATACAAAGAATATTTTTCTTGATGTGGATGTATGGATCTCAAAACACTATTATCGCCAAAATCAATGGGAAAACTCAGGCAGTCTCTTTATACGACGTTGATGATGGGAGGTTTGAAGACAGACTGAAGCTGGACAATCAGACTGGATCTCTGACCATCAGCGACATCAGAACCAAACACTCTGAAGTTTATCATTTGAAGATCATCAGCAACGAGACCTTCCTCAAGAAATTCAGTGTTACTGTCCATGGTGAGTAGCTCGGATCTGTTTAATTATAGGCCAATTTTCTGAGCAAGTTTGCACAATCTGCAACTGGATAACTGATAATTACAGTGTTAAAATGTGTACTTTTCTATTATTCACTTTTTTTCCTTCTATGTATTAAGTTTGTAATAATTTATTTTCCTATCCCAAAATGCACTATCAATCACATAACTCTGTTATCAATCACATAACTGCTCTGCTCCTGTTTGTTTCCAGATGTGATTTTTGCAGGGTTAGAAAACAAGAGAGAAGGAGATTCTGTTACTCTACAAACTGGTGTTACTGATTCACAGAAACATGATCTAATACGGTGGACATTTGGACCTACAAATCCAGACAATCTTATAGCTGAAATGCACACAAAAAATCATAAGATCACACTGAATTCAGATGATATATACAGAAAATCAGACGGGATCTCTCACCATCAGAGACGTCAGTTTATCAACTACAGATCTCCAAAAGTAAAGAGACCATATACAAGAGATTCAATGTTTTTTTGGTATGTAGTTCATGTCAAATCATATTGAAAGAGTGTCATTTAGATGTTCCCTCATACTGAAATTGCACTTGTTTTACTGTCTCTCTCCAGGCATCCCAGATCCTGGTTTGTCCGCTGGTTATATTGTGCTGATTTGTCTTTGTGTCCTGCTGTCAGTGGCTGCACCTCTAGGTATGATTTACTACAAGTTAAAATACTCTAAACTGAAAGATAAGTGTTATCTACAGCGAATATAGGAATAGACTAAAGTGTAATTAGATTTGTGCGAAACCACATTTTCTTCTAGACTGATTAGACTACAAATTGTTTAATTCAAAGCCTATCATTATTTAAGTAGCCATTCAAAACGATTTAGCAGAAAACAATACTTTTTGTACAATAAAGTTTGAAACACTTTTTGTTCTTACTGAAGATACATTAGAAGTTTTCGAACCCTAAAGGTGCATTTAAAAAGCTGCTTAAAAAGGAATCAAATCACTGTTCAGTGAATCAAATCAAACTCTGAACAAAATCTCTAATGAATCGATTTGAAAACTAACATTTCAGAAAATATCTGTTTCTTTTTAAAGCTTCTCTTTTGTTATGAATGCACTTTAGAATGCAATACATTTTGGAACAGAATGGAACGTCATTTATAGTAGTTTATTTACTCACAAAACATTGACTTTAGACTACTTAAACAATGAATGGTCTTTTGCATTATTTTATATATTCTCCATTCACTTGATAAAGAAACAGAAAAGAAAGTCAATCAGTGTCAGTGACGGAGGGAAACAGTGTCAAGCTAAAAACCGGTGCAACCGAGATCCAGAGAGATGACGAAGTGCTCTGGACGTTTGGACCTCAAGAAATGGTCCTCGCTCATATCCCCCAAAAAAGCCAGTAACATCTCATATGCTGATGATGAGCTATTCAGAGTCAAACTGCAGCTGGACCATCAGACTGGAGATCTGACCATCAGCGACATCAGGATCGCAGTCTCTGGAGATTATCAGCTAAAGATCACCCGCAGCAAAGCAAAACTGAAGAGATTCAAAGTTATTGTACGAGGTGCACAACTGAAATACTTCAAATATCCTACAGTATTGTCTGTCAATGTGTTACTTTATTCGTTTTTGAACTTCGTTGAGCTCTCTAATGGGTAAATCTAATTCGTTGTTCACGTCTACATTCACGTGCCAACATGTTTTATGCGTGTCTGTTTCTTTATGAAATTAAGAGGACACACGGAAAT